CTTGCTTCTGCTAAAACAGTGAACTCACATTCAGGGTCAAAACCATTGGGTGACGACGGACGCCGTTGGCCACTCTCTGTCAACAACAACACAAAGGAGTCGTTCTGCTTATCTAAAAATACCAGAAATCTGAAATCCATATTTTGGTCATTAATTGAATTTTCACTGAACCGACAAAAGGTCAGAGAAGATTTCTCTGAACATTTAATGTCTTCTTTGTCCTGACTGAGATCCAAATGTCCAAGTGCATCCTCACGTTCTAACAAAAACATCATGGTATGTTTCAATAAAAAAAGAAATAAAAAGAAATAAAAAATAAAAAGAAATTACAAAAGAGGAACAATAGATTTCAAACCAACAAAACAACTATTGATGATCTTATCATCACTTTCTTATCACCCTGAACCTCACCTGAGAAATAACCTGCATTGTTACTTTACAGGGTTAGAAATAAAATAAATGAGTGAGTGAGTGAGCTATGTTGGTTTGCTGGGAACGGTGGGTGTGTGTGCTGTGAAAGAGCTGCTGACACAGCCAGTAACGCAACAACATTTTTCACAGCTTGTTTAAAAAGATTTTGTAATAGTTAACCCAACCGGACCAACAAACCTGCTGGTACAAGTAAGAAAGGTAGAAGATAAACGTTTACAGATTATTAAATCTGTCACTGTCTTCTCAAAGAGCACTTTGGTGCAGGTTTTAAACTAGACGGCAGGTTTTTCTTTTTTTTTTTCTACCAAGTACATCATGTACTTTTCCAGTAGAGTCAAAGTGTACGTTTCACCACAGCTTAAATAACTTTTCTGACGTTTACACTACACAACAAGAAACCAACAGATTCTCTTTCAGAGTCTTACGGACGTGCCAGATTTTTCTACATTTATGACACCGTTCCTCAAATAAACATCTCGGTTCCTCTGCGCGTTACGCAACAGCAGCAGAGCTCAAGCTCAAGGCGTGACTGAGCACAGATCTGACACGAGAATGAAGGTATGTGTCCAAATCTGAAGAACGAGAGTTCCAGGTGAAGACAAAAGGGACATTGTGGAAGGACGGTGAGCGATGAGGAAACATCCTGATCACCTCACGGACCTCCCTGTGAGCAGCTTCAGATGTTTGAGTGCAAACCATTACATAAGGAGAGAGAGAGAGAGAGAGAGAGAGAGAGAAGGCTCGAACGCTTTAAGCTAGGACAGGATGTGACTGAGCCCTGTGGGAACCATGTACGGTTATAAACAGCTATGACCCATGGGAAATCATCGGTTCACTTTAAGGGGCCGTCACGATTACAGATGACGTGACATATCTGTGTTTCCTCAGATGTTTTTCCTCCCTGTCAAACTGACTCACCTTTTTTTATATATATATTTGGATTCTTTCATAACTGCCAGTTGTTACAGGACAGACTTCACCTCCGCTCGACTGCAGCCCCTGTTGTTACGGTGACGTAAGGAGACTTATGGCTTGTTATGACAGGCTGTGACGCCCACTCAGCGAGCCCAGCCCTGCCTCACAGGTTCTGACAACCGTCAATCTACGTACGGCACAAACGGAACTCGACCTCTTATACAAACAGTCAGAATTAACACATTAATTCAATAGATTTTAATTTGCACCTTTATCCCATAATCCCCCACACATCTAAACACTAATTGCGTGTTTACCTTTAAGACACACAAGCGAATCACAACCATTCTTAGCGCTGGCTAACCCGTCACTCTGATGCTCGTCGGTGGCCGTGCTCTGGGCTTTTTTCACAGAGAGAAACCAGTCAAACAAATGTTCCCCGTCACGTCTATTCTGTCGTAAATCACGTTAAAAATGCTTTGATGAATCGCAGGGAAACGCTAACAACATTAGCCTTGAACCATAAAAATGTCAAGGCAACTCTAACCAAGGCAACGTGACTCCTCTGAAGTCCGTTTGAAGTCAGTGACAGCAGAGCGTGGACCGCAGTTCTGAAGTGACGTTCCTCACCTGTAGTATCGAGACTGCAGGTAAGTCGAGCAGACGGCCTTGGAGACGTGGCTGGCGGAGCCAAAGTCGATGACCTTGACCCTGTAAGGCTGCCTGGTGGGGTCCACCAGCATGATGTTCTCTGGCTTCAGGTCAGCGTGGATCAAACCCAGAGACTTCAGCTTCTGGAGGGCTTTAGCCACCTGAAGAAGAAGGAGGAATAAAAGTGGAATATGAAACCCAAAGTCTTTCACTACATCGTCCACACGTCACTGCGTGCGTTATCTCCACGACGTTTCGCCTTTACCTGCTGCAGGATAGGCCTGATGATTTTGAGTGGCAGTGGGCTGAACTTGTTCTGTTTGAGGAAGTCGTAGAGGTTCTGCTCCAACATCTCAAACACCAGGCAGGTGTGGCCGCGGTGCTGGAAGCACTCCAAGGCACGCACCACATTGTGCTCATCTGCATTCTCGTTACTCAACCGTGCCAAAATCTCCACCTGGTAGATCAGAGACAAACGGAACGGAGAAGCTGAAAAAGTCCAGTCTAGGACGTAAACACTTTTAAACTGTTTATTTCTTTTTTTAATTACAAAGAAAAGAGCGGTGAAGAGTGACATGAGTCCTCACCTCAATCTGCCCCTGGCGTAAATTACAAAGAAAGGAGCGGTGAAGAGTGACATCAGTCCTCACCTCAATCTGCCCCTGGCGTGCATAGGATGGATGGTTCTTCAGTATTTTCACTGCCACGACATCATTGGCTCCCCTCTTCCAGCACTTGACCACCTGACCAAAGGTCCCGCGGCCCAGAAACTCCAGGACCTCGTAGCTGTTCTTTGAAGAGCACAGGACCTCGTGCTGCACCAACTGGTAGTCCCCGTCTCCTGAGCCGGTCCTGGTCACCGCGGCACCGGCCACTACCTCACCGCTGCCGTTGGCCTTGCTCTCAGGCCCGTCAACCCTGATTCCCGTGTCTGCCGCGCTGTGATGAAGGGGCGCTGCTCCTCTGCCCGTCCCTTTGACAGTGTCTGCATTGGTTCCAGTGCTGGTCTGCAACATGGCCGCAGCGGGAGGAAGTGAAGGTAGAGCAGACGCCTCCTCCACTATCTGCATGTTGTTCTCCTGCGGTTGTTGTCTACGGTCACGCGCCTCGTCCCGCTCACATCTCTGAGGGACACCCGAGTCTCTCAGGTGAGTGTATCCCGCTCTGGTTTTTGCGCCTCTCTTCCTGCCCTCCCCCTCCTCCGCTCTGAAACAGCCCCCCCTCAGTAACCCACAGTCCAAACCTGCGACTGACGGAGTTCCACGACTGTCTGCCTGAGGCCTCGCTTCCTGAGGTCCTCTGTTCTGGAAAAGATTCTCCTGGTTTTGGATCTCAGCAGGACCCTCTCTCTGTAAAACCCACTGCTCCCCTTGTCTGAGTTCTAGCCTCCGGTGCTGTCCGCCCAGGTCAGCAACAGCTGGAGACGGGATAACGTTGTTTGGATAGGCGATTCCGTAGTTGACTCCAATCACGTAGGTCTTAGGCGGCGGTCGGTGCTGGAAGGCTCTGCTGGTGTCATCACTGTGGTGGGCGTCGCCTGTTTGTCTGCTGGTACCACTGCTGCTGGTTCCTAAGGCACTTGTTTGAGCTGAGTGCAGGTGTGGTGGGTAAACCAAGACTTGTGAGGCCATACCTTTAAGAAAAGAAAGAAAAAAAAAAGCAGAGTTTAACATTTAGTAAAGGATTATGGTACATCAAGAAAAACTAGACATTGATGAGGATAAAATAGATACACCAAGAAAAATGTTGTGTCAAACTAGACATTGATGAGGATAAAATAGAGATAATTGTTAAGGAAAATTAAAAAGTTTTAAAGGTTCAATTAAACAAACGTATGATGATGGGTTTAAGTGAGTGCTGTCATAATAAAAGCAATAATATTTTGTAGACGACTTCTTCATTTATAGGTTTTTTTTTTCACTCCAGTTCAAACAGCGACATTAACTTAGATAAAACTGTTTATCTATTACGTGTTGAATAGTTAACTAATCAGTGTTTGTTTCCGACTTTCACAATAAAATTATAAACTAACTTCTGTCACACGTGTGTGTTAAAAAAAATACCCACTATTGAAGCCTGGATAATGACACCAGCTCCCAACGACAACAAGGATTTCAAAAGGACGGTAAAGATCCGCAGTAATGTCAACACACGAGACAGGCTGGAATGTTGTTTCAGGAGCACGCTGCTAAGCTCTACTTTATTCTCGTTTTACTACAGACAGAGCCACTGTATGTCAGTGAACACAGACCCTGAGTCAGACAGATTTCACTGACAGCAGCTCCAACATTCAAAACCAGCCGCGGCCGAAGGCCGACTTTACAGGGAGACCACGGAAATGTCACCAAAGAAAGCTGCGTGCGGTCAAATTTCCTGGTTAGCCGTCGCTCTCTCCGACTGAACCGGAGAGCTGCCAAAGAAACGCCACATCTGAGGCATCGTGTCATCTTCACTGGAAGGGGAACCAGTCCAGTGAAACGAGAGCAGGGGGAAGCCCGGGGCACTGCTGGCCCGTCCCTGCAGCTCCACTGGAGGGTCAGTTTCACATCAAGTAGAACAGCACAGTAAGCAGAACCCTGAGGGAAATGATACACCCTGAGCTATGATGTCTGTTCTGTCTGTTGACTGCTGAAATACCACTCAGTCTAAAGAGCGGTCATATTAAATGAAATAAGTCACACACACACACACGTCAGCACAGGGGATGTAGAATAATGTCAGAAAATGTCTTCATTTAAATCAAATCAATTGGAGAATCTTATTCCAGCATGTTATTGCTGCTAGTTTTGTTTTTTTATCTACACCACAGCACGTCTTACTGTCAGGTCAATATAATCAATAATATTGACAATAATAATAATAAAAATAATACTAAAACGTTTCAGTCTTTGTACCAGACAATTATCATTGTCATCATAGGCATTTACAAACATCCACACCCTGCATACTTTATCAGTAATGTTGCTAAATTAAAAAAAAAGAATAAATAAATAAAAACCAACCAACAACAGCTGACATAATCACCCTCGACTTTCACAGAAGCCCAGCGACAGCTCACGTCGTTCTTCAAACACCTGGAGACGAGGATTCATGAAGCAGAACCAGAACTCTGTTCCTGGTCTGAACTCCGACCTCCGTCGTGTCTGTCACTGACTCTAATCAGGAACACGCCGTTGTCTGACACGACTGATCGGTGACAGATTCACTTCAGAGGTTCATCCTTTTCTCTGACACTGAAATGATGCAAAACCACCATCTGTGTCTCAGAGAATAAATCTATTCATGTATAATAAGAGCATGTGTGTGTGAGTGTGTGTGTGAGTGTGTGTGTGTGCGCGTGTTTGAAGAACATTCCTTTCCATTTAACAAGGCATGGCACCATGATTACAGGCAGAAAACAGGCGGAGGCCGAGCCCGTCAGCCAGACATCCTGAATATTCCCATCTACAGTCACATGACTGCAGAGTTTTGGCTGCATCACGCTCTCTTTTTTAAACACACACATGTCCATACACTGTTTGGGGTGTGTTTTTGAAGCACTTGCCTTTAACTTTGACCTCACCCTTTACAAACCTCCACCTATAATCTTAATCCTTAACCCATCTTCAATCTGAACCCTCTTCTAATCCTAGCCCTGGATTAAACCTTAAAAACAATGATGGTATTTTTAACATTCACCCAGACGTACAGCTTTATGAGGAACACACACAGAAAAGTTGCCTGTGTCAAGGGCAAAGTTTTTGCTCAACAAGAAACGCCTCCTGAGAGCCAATGGCCTTCCTCTCTGGTTGAGCTGTCACACACAGGCTCAAACAGGCAGCGGGGTGTGTCCAAGTGTCAACACAAAAACACAACACACTTCAATATTCCACAGCGTTCAGGCTTCAACACAACTGCTCACAGAACCACTGGATCTGCACCACCGTCTGTCTTTAAAAAATGGAACGTGACATGTCATTAGTTCTGACTTAAATGACCTAAAATGCACACGTCACGTGACCCATAACATGTGAGGCTTTAGATGCAGTTTCAAGTATGTAGTAGTACACATAATAAATACTACACATACTTAGACAAGATCAATAACTCACAGTTCACAGGGCTTCAGTTTTTTTCTTTCAAATTAAACCTAAACACAGTTTTAAAGTTTTACACAAAATAAACACAGACTGACGAGTTCCTGGTTGTTTTTTAAAGAACTGCGACTTATTATTGTTTTTTGGTAACTTTGTGTTTTTCTACACAAGTTCCTACAGCTTTGAAACATTGAGATTTCGGGACAATAGCAAATAAATAAATAAAAATTAAAAAAAGCTCCAACCAAAACAGTTCCTTGTGTTTGGAAACTGTTGTTTTTTTTCCTCACAGGAAACTACAGGCTGCAGTGACAGGAGCATCAAATATATCATGAAGACGACGTCTTCGTGGAGTCAAAGAGACGATGGATCATAGTCTGAAGAAAATAACCAGGACAGTAACACTTTTAAACTGTATCCAATTTAGGGTAAGTTATGCTTCAGTAGTAAACACTGGAGTTAAGAGTGTTTAAAAAATCAATCCTGGTGTCAGTTGATAAATAAACTGCAGCACAGACAGGCGTGTTCAACACGGGGTCCGCAACCTCCGAGGAGTCCGCACGGATACTACTGGGGGAGGAGTCAATAAATACGACATAATAGTAGAATCCCTTCCTCCTTTGCAGAAGGTTCTGAGTTCAATTCCATCCAGTCCCCAGTTTAAGGTGTTCTAGAACTTTTTTTCAGACATTTTTTGCAGATGTTTAAAGGAAAAATATAAATATACAATAATACGTGACACATGTTTAATATAAAGTAATAAGGTATGGAGATACAATAATAATAATAATAATATAAAGCACCATTTTATCCCATATATACAGTAGTAGACGGTCAGTAATCTGAGCAGCCACTTCCACATTTTATTTATTTTTTTTAAGTACACTCTTGTGCAGAGACAAAGCTGCGGCGCCTCCTGTTCCAGCTTCACTCACTGCCAAACTAGGTGTTCTGACTGATAACACACAGGGCAACAAGATCCAGGCCTGAAATGGAGTCATGACAACGAGGGGTGTGTGTGTGTGTGTGTGTGTGTGTGTAAGGGGCAGCCGGGTGTTTCAGTGAAATACAAGAATGCCAGCTGTACACACAACTGTGTTACTGATCAATCTAAAAGGAGACAGTTACTATGTGGGGAGTGGAAGGTGTGTGTGTGTGTGTGTGTGTGTGTGTGGGTGGGTGTACGCGTGCGTGTGTGCGTGTGTTTTTGGGGGAAGGGTAACTTCTGCTTGACACCTGTTGAAACTTATATTCTGTGACAGCAGAGTTAAATAATAACTACAGTCACCAGATTAACATATAAATCTATATGATTGTAAACACACAGGCTAATTCAACACAACACGAAAGTAGCATTAATTTAAATTCAAATATTTACCTTCTAGGACTTGTTGTACTTTTCTCTGTCTTCGAGATAACATTTGTGTTAGATAACAAAATAACACAAGAAGCGTATTTTGAGAGGAAAACGGTGACATTTGGAGTATAAATATATATGTGTGTGTGTGTAAATATAATGTTTCAGGGTAGTTAAGTTTTCCGTTAGCTTGGTGCGGAGTTGTTTAGCTCTACATTAGCAGACGAGGCTGGAAGTTCATGAAAACACAGGAAAACACCGGAGCTGCTGGGAGTTCGTTATAGTCGAATAAAGGTTGACAAACCTTCAGTAAAACCCGTAGATCGCATCACCCACAGCGCCGAGGACCAGGCTACCGACGACCCGCACCACACTCGTATCCTGGACCGTTGTTGCTGCTGCTGCTGTTGTCGTCGCCGCTGATGCTGATGCTGCTGCTGCTGCTACTGCCGCCGCCGCCGCCGCCGACGCTGCTGCTGCTACTGCCATCTTGTTGTTCCAGACCCAACGACTTTTCGCACATTTGAAGAGCCACAATATAACGCAAAATAAAGGGGAATTACCAACGCCAGCCACCGCCCATGGTTTCCGTCTACAGTCGCCGCGGGTGTCGCTGACTGTCGCCGCTCTAATGGAGGCGAGGGTCCGTGTTTGTAAACTTTTGCATGGTGACGACGAGACGACGACGCCTCGTTCTCTGACTCAGAGCTGCTGCTGCTGTCGTAGCTGTTAGCCTTTAGCTGCTGCTGCTGCTGCTGCTGCTGCTGCTCCGGGAGCTTGTTGCTTCTCCGCATGTGTGGAATGTAAAAGGGAGGAGGAGGAGGAGGAGACACAAAACTCTTCCCACTAAAGTGTTAATGCCACCTTCGAACGGTTTTATAATGATAATAATAATAATAATTATTGTTGTTATTATTATGTTAACCTAAACCAGCCAGTTACGTCTGTGACGTCTGTTATCCACTCATTACTAACCTTTTATTTGAACTAAAACGACTTGTTGAGCTGAATTAACTTTGGAAAAGTTCAAGCTTCTTTTTTTTTTTACAGTCTCATTTTAGCTGATATTTTTTATACTTTTATACTAAAATCTTATGGCTACCTTCTCAGCTCTGTTGGCTACTTTAACAAATTCTCTAGTTTTTTTATTTTATTTTATTTTAGTAGTGGTTTAGATGAAGCGTCATCATTGACAGCCTGACTCTGCTTTATTAGCATGTTTGATGAAGAAGACTCCAGACAGACATGGAGATGCAGAGATAATGTGTTGGGAGTGAACACAGCCAGGCTTTTCATTTGTCAAACAAAGATCATCCTTCTGCCACGGACAACAAAGACATTTCACCACAACCATAATGTTCTGTGGCCAGTTAAAAATATGCATCAGAAATGTCAGACCCAGAGGCAAAGCAGTGTGTGTGTGTGTGTGGGTCGAGACTGTAGAAATTACCCCTAAAGTTTTGTAATTTTTTTATTTTATGTTCCATTTTTAAACAGGGCACAACATGGTGTAACAGACCCAGTAGCAATATTTAGAAACTTCCTCCGTGTTACTTTGCATGAAAAAAAAAACAAAACCTTTTTGAACCTTCACTCGAACACCATGGTGAAAAAAAAAATTCTTTCTACATTTTATGAACTCTAGAGAACATATTCTGTGTGCAGAGGGGTGAAAAACTTAATATTGGACATCCCTAAACAGAACTTAGGGCAAAGCTCAGTACAAGTATGAAATAGTTAAAAATTAAAATGTTTGGGAGACTTTAAATATTTAAATATAATTTAAAAAAAACTAAATAATCCTCTGCAGTACAAGAGAATAAAAAAAATCAATTTGAACAGTCTGACTTTCCATCTGTTTGATTCCATTAATTCATCGTTCTAAAGTAACTTTGCGTGAACTAAGTGCTAACCCTTGGACACTGTGGTTTCAGTCACTGCAACATGGCAAATCTTTTAATTCCCCATGAGCCAGTACAAATATTCAGACGTTCACAGGTTTCAACAACCAGGCAAAAGGTCATTAGGGCTTTAGACACTGGTCTGTTAGTGAAATACATTGTTTCAAATACTTCTTAAATAGTTCTAAATTCTGACAGTCACTGGTTAAAGACAAGTTTCTTAAAGATGTGATTATTTCAGTCAGAACTAATAAAAACTCTGTCTGTTGCTTTCGCCAATAGAAACACAGTAACGTCACCCAATTGTAACAACCCTTTACTGACATCCAGCGGTGGAATGGTGGAACTACATCAAATTACTACTGTTTTAATGTATTGGGGTTGAATGAAAAGCTCGATACCGTTTTAGGTTTTGTAAATATGACGCTGCAGCCATAGTTCACTTAGCTTAGGTTAGCTTAGCATATAGGCAAGGCGTGATAAACAGGCAGCATCTAGTTCTGTACGCCTACACTGCAGCTCACCAAGCAAAAAACAGTGTTAGTGTGAGATCAATACTGGTTCGAGGTCTAATACCTGTCAGATAAGCAGTTGTTGTTGTGGGATGGTAGGCAGTGGGATTTTTTTTTTTTAAATGATACAGACGTGACATTAAAGACAACTTTTCAAAACACTAAGTTCCTAAGTCTCCGAGCTTGACGTCTCCCCTGGTGTGAGTATTTTGTTGAAAATCTTTTGGTAGAATGGAGAGAAGACGAGCTTGTTGTAGTTGACGAGGCGACTGAAATGAACGGTGAGCTCCTTCAGCTCCTTGGACACCGGAACCAGACCTCCTGGGAGAGAGGGAGGAGTCTTGTGCTGACTGGACTCCAGTGATGCCAGGAGGTAGGACTGTACTCGAGAGTCTAAGAAGAGGAGACATTTTGGGGTTTCTCCGTTAAAACCACAAAGGTACCTGAAGTAAAGTAATATACTGTACAGTGTCAACACAAAGGAAATGATGTCACTGCCAGTTCAGTTTGTACATAAACATCTGTAGTGTACGTGTAGTGTTTTTACCCATCACTTTGCGGACTGTGTTGTCAGGATGGATGGTGGCGGAGATCTGTCCCTTCAGGATGCTCTTCTTGTCCGCAGAGAACGGAGAGTAGCCATGTTGGCTGAGGCACTCACTTAGTTCAACACACAGTTTCTCTCCGATGGTGGCTAAGGCGTCGGCTGCACTGAACGACCTTTAAGGAAAAGGCAAGAAGTTGTGTGAAGTTGAGGTCACGAGCTTCAGCGTCAAACAAAAAAAGAAGAGTGAAGCTGCTGACTCACTGGTTTGAGGCGGAGCGGCTCTAAAAACTCCAGCTAATTCATTAGTTCATTACACTGTCTTTTGTTAAGCTCTTGGTTGAAGTCACGCTCACTCAACTATTTTAATTAAAAACTTTCAAATGACTTTAGTTTTTGACAGTTATCGCTGATTTACAGTGTTTGCTTTGTGACCCAACCCCCACCGTCTCAGGGGTCTGACAGTAAATCAGGGACAGAATTCTCTGGAATCCTGAAAAAACACCCACCACCAGCCAACTCGCACTGACGACGAGGACAAAGAGTCAACCAAGAGTGATGAACTTTCAACTTTTGACCTTTGGACTGTAGATACTCACGGTGTATGCATGTCTGTGAGCATGATGTTGACAGTGTTTTTGAGTCTCTCCATCAGCCCTGGCAGGCCTGAGATGGCTTCTCCTGTTGTAGTGTAGACGATGAGGAGGAGGGAGGAGAGCAGGACCAAACGTTCTGCCTCCTGCTGCATCTCCTGGAACCGAACCTGATCCATCAAAACTGTCTGGAAATGAGAAAGAGGAACATAATTCCGGGTAATGATACTAGGCAAAAAAACTGAAGGAAAAAAAACAAAACAAACAGGACTAACCTCTGGGAAGGGGGCCGAGGCATGGTCCCACTTAAGCAGGCGTAGATATGCATAATTATGGACATTCAGTGAGAGCAGAGGAGACGCGTTAGACGACGTGGCACCGTCCTGGTTCGACTCCCTCAGGTAATTCACTGTGTCCTCCAACCACTTCTCAGTGAAGTCTAACGCATCTGTGGAACAGAGCAACGTTTACTGTCTTTCTACAGCAGGTTACTCCCAAACCACTTGTCTCTAGCGCCCCCTTTTGTAAATATGCATGAAGCATGTTTTGTGGACAAATATTACAGAGGACTAATGGACATAGATGACCCCCTGGAGGTCATACGGTGTAATTACAGTGTTTACAAATGAATAAAAACAACTATTAAAAAATAACTTTTTGTCTAAGGTAATCAACAGTCGCCTCCTCACTTGGTTGTTTGTCCAGAAACTCCTGGAATTTGTTTCTCTCATACTCGACTGACTGCTGCATCAAGTGAGGCCTAATGCTGCACAGTGCAAAGTTTGCCATATCCACCTTCATCAGGTCCAGGACTGAAAATATCTTCCTGAAGAGCAAGGAGAAAAGATGAATCAACAAAAAGGTGTTTACATACGAGCGCCCCCCAGTGGACGATACGTCGCAAGAAATAACTTAATGTTTTAAATTTAATTTTAAATGATAAAAAATAATGATAATTTCCATGTTTCAAACATAAAAACTAATTATTGAATTTTATTCTTTATTAATTAACTATGGAAGTAAAAATAAAACACACAAAAGAATCTCAGTGCCTCTCTTTGTCTCTTTACTTACTTTAGCAGCAACACAATGTCTGTGATCTCCTTCAGCTTGTTGATGTCCTTATCCCTGCAGGGGGCGCACAGTGACCCCATCATCCCAATGATGAACTGGGACAGTTGACCAATGTCCAGAGCTCCATTTTCAGCCTGCTGCTGGATTAGAGACAGGTCCAGGACCTCCTCGATGCGGGTTCTCTGACGGCCGTGGCCCGGGAGCAGATAAGACAGAAGAGTCTGTGAAGGTTGGAGAGAGAGAGAGAAAGAGAGAGAGAGAGAGACAGTGATTAAAGAGATTAAAGGTAAAGACAAAGGAACAGAACACAGGGAAGGATAAATATAACAGAGACAGAGAGGTATCAAATGATAAAGTGAAATTAATCCTGTTGAAGAAATGCATTTTTCAGGCTTGAAGTGAAAATAAAATCAATCGACTGCTGGGGTAAAACAATACCCTGACTTCACCTCTTTGATCTCAGCCAGAATTTTAATGGCGTGTCCATAAGACGGTGGATCCTCATGCAACTGCGCTTCCAAACAATCCCAGAATGCTCTGTGCATTATCTCCTTCACTCTGTGCTCCAGACTGTGGAGGGAGACAAAGTGTGAACTGGTTACTGTGAAAGGATTAAAAATGCTCATCCCAAAATGAAGACGAAAGTTTTATGCTGTATTTATACGACTTGATCACCTTCCTTCAGGAAGTTCTGCAGGTTTGACCTGAAACGCCTGGTTGACCATTATCTCGTGAGCCAAAGCCAAGTTGGTGACACCCTTGGCCGTCTCCATCAGCTCCTCCATAGAGACAAACTTGGGAGGACTGGCTGGAAGAACGAGAGTTAAAAAAAAAAAGTTTTATATATCAGAACATACACAAGCAAATCTGCTCTGGTGGAATTAGACTTACTGTAATTGTTTAATTATTTATCAATTCATTGTGGCTCTGTTTACAACTGTGATGATACAGTTGATCCTACGGCCCATCAACTACAACCATAATATTCTTTATGGACTTTCATCATTGAGGGAGATGATTTAAAAAACCATATATTTTCAAAGTTGTGTCTGACCTTGTGGAGTATGTGATCTGACTTTCTTCCTCACTGCCTCGTCAGAAC